CTGTACCAACAGGCTTATATGACCTAAATTTCTACGAAAAGCACTTTATTCCCTAATCGTACTTTTGTATTAAATACATAATATAACGTTACCGTCACAGCCTATTAAAAGTTCACTGATATTTGCCAAAGTTGCCACGCTTTGCAAGCGGGTAGGCGCGCGAAAGAATCAAATAAAAATATACTAGTAAGCAGTGAAAAGGGGTCTCTAACTCACGAAGTATGATTTGTTTTCTTCGTCTAACACATCGTGTGCATTGTAAGATCAGTATTGTCTCGAATGAATAAAAACAAATTAAAACTGTTGTTCTTCCATCTTCCACGTCGGAGCTCTGTTCTCGTAGACACCGACTCACGCACACTCCACCGCTAAAATTCACTTCGTACTGTATTCAACTACACCACGCATATATAATCAATAGCTGGTTTTCTTAATTCATAGAATTTATTTCTTGTGCGAAGAAAACGTAACCTGACAAAACGGAAGTTTTCACTGAAATAAAGTTTATCGTACTATCCACATTTCTAGATACTACTTCTACTTATTCGATTATTCAAACTTATTATATACTATTAAAAGTTATATACAGTACCTATATGTAAAGTAAATTTATATCCATCTAATCGCATCAGGAAGTATCACTATAGTCAAGTTTTAGTCAAGAGGAGATATCTCCATCGTGTTATCCTTAACTGTGACGAGTGGAACCTTATTAAAAATATAACATACTTTGCTTACTTATAATTTGTAATTAAATAGAAAGATTGTTAGACAAAAATTTGGCGTCCCATTAAGAAATTTTGGGAAACCAAGAACTAGGATACAGTGCATTTTCCATTTGTACGACAAAAAATACAATGTTATGTAATTGGAAGAGCGAGTGCATCGTCCAAGGCTGTCGCGTGCCACGTCATCCATCTTGTTTTGGGGTATCAAGAAACCGCACACACAGTCTACCTAGTAACATCTCCCATAATAGGGCCAAGGCCCGACCAGGGAATCGGACTCAAGAACCCCTAGGCCTGTCGCTCAACCATTCTGGTCCTTCGAGCAGGATTAAAATCGGGGCAATTCGCCCCATCAGTAATTAAAAAAAATGTACCAAAACATATTTCAAAAACAACAATCCACTGGGAGAAGTCGCATTCTTTACAATGATAACAGACACGGTGTTATTCTTATTTTAAAATCGATACATAACAATCGTCACGGTTATTAGGATAATGAAATAAATTGAATACATTCTATAACTAACTCATTGTATGTTAAACGCCTTTACTGCCCATCAAAGGCCAGCAAACATGACCAGCGATATACAATGCACCCACAAGGATGACTGTCGAATAGCGATGCTTTCAGGGAAATGCGATGAGTTATGTCCACGCCGTTGGCACCATTTGGTAACTATGGGTAATTTTCCACCGTATTTGAACGTTTTATCTAGAACTTTCGCGCATTCATTTACACTTGCCATTTGAATTCTGCTTCGCTGCGTTTTGGTATTTAAAAAAAAATTATTGTAATGATAAGCGAGTTCCCGGTTTTAATTTCCTAATTCTTCTTCAGCCGCTAGAATAAAAGGCCACATATAGCTCCTTACAATGTATTGAGTAGATATTAATTCTGTACGATTTGAAATAATGAGTATATTATTATTTCAAATCGTACAGAATTAATATCTACGTATATGAGTTGTAATGAGTCCGATTTTGCAAATTGGAAATTTTAACATATCTTCACGTTTCAAGGTCTTTAGAGTCGAATAGTACGTGTACGTGCACATGCACGTATATATTAAGTATGTACTATGTATGTATGTATGTATGTTCGGATTCAATTTTTTCAATTGACATGGGACCAGTTTCATTTAACGCATAATTATGTAACTTAGACCTCATTAAATTTTCGGTCGGTCAAGTCGTTTTTTGTGCAGAGTGAAAAATTGTATAAATATTAAAATTTAAAACATATGATATTTTTTTATTGTTTCTACTGGGAAGTTAGTCGTGTGGACCTTTCGGGTCGCACCTAGACCGCTTTTATTTTTTAGTGACTGCTCCTGTTTGATAGCTTCATTTTGTGCTCTGTAAGCACTTTATGCTATGTACGCACTTTATGCTCTGTACTGTAATAAATATCGCTAAACAATTCAGATTACTCTAATTTCTACATCTTTTAAAATTAGACAAGAAGTCGTATACAACGCACTTGTATTAAATCCTCCGTCTCTTAGTTGATCTTCTATGCAACGTATATTATATTATACATGACCATGTGAATAATATTAAATATAGGTGTACATGACTAGATTATTTTCTGTGTATATTTTGTTATGGTTTGAATTCATATCTGCTTTAATTTTAGAGATATATAGTTAGAAGTTTATAACCTATTTTTTGGTATGTATTTGTATGTATATAATATAAAAAAATTACAAATTCTTCGAATCAAGACGTTTCGCAAGCTTTTAAAATTATTTATGTCTTCCGCGAACCTTACTTTACGAGCGTATAGTCAGATGTTTTAGATGCTACATAATGGGTAATGAAGGAATAGAAATAATACATTATAAATAATTTACCGACTCAAGAATTCAGACGTCGAATGGAACAGCTTTCGAGCTGTTATTGCGTGTTATATGTGTTATTTTTAGAGATTTATCCGTCGTGTGAAACGCAAATTAAGAAAAATAGTTTTTTCAGTTCGCGTCTTCATTCGGCAATATAAATAATAAAAAACCAAGTAAATTAAATGTGATAAAGCCCGTAAAATTAGTTTGATTTAAGATTTAAACACAGATATAGTAATAATAAGACTATTACGATTTCTGTGGATTTATATAATGAAAAACCATGTATAATGTGGTGCAAGAATATCCACTACGTGTCGTAAGAGGCGACAGAGGGCAAATGAAGCAGAAGGTGGGCAGCTGCATCTTACTAGTAACAACTTAAAATAAAAAAATAAAAACTGCGGTGGCCAACTTGCCTGCCAAGCTTGGCAACTATGGCAAAATCCCGCTTACGAGGCAATCTATGGGGGAGGCTTATGTTTAGCAGTGAACAATTATAGGCTGTGATGAATGGATGGATGATGAATGAATGTTCCAAAATATCCGAGAAAATTATGATCCCTTAGCTACTAACATTGTTACACAGGCTGCACTAAAAGTATCGGGAATGGAATATTTCCACTGTTCCTGTCATATTAAAATCGTTTTAATTGAAAACTCCTTGGTTTCAAAAATCGAATACCATTCATTTATTTAATAAAAAAAAGATTCTCGGTCTTGTCACAAGGTTTTGTCAAACTTGTTTAGTCGTTGAGAAAATGGAATTGACTCGAGACAATTCAAGAGCGATGATTTATTATGCCTTTCGAAGTGGTTTAACACAAAAACAGTGTGTTGACCGGATGATTTCTGCATTTGGTGAAGCCCCATCCAAAACCACAATTTATCGCTGGTTTGCTGAATTTCAACGTGGACGTGTCAAGCTCAGTGATGATCCCCGTCAAGGTCGTCCAAAAACTGCAGTCACCCAAGAAAACGTTGATGCTGTGCGTAAGCTGATTGAGGAAGATCGACATGTGACATACCGCGAAATTCAGGCAACTTTAGACATTGGCATGAGTCCAATACAAATAACCTTGCATGAACAATTAGGTGTAAAAAGTTGTTTTCCCGATGGATACCGCATTCGCTCTGTGAAGAGCAAAAAGCGGCTCGCGTTACTTGGTGCGTCAGAACTCTCAAAAGATTCCACGCAGGATCCTCAAACGCTGTATACGACATCGTATCAGGTGACGAATCCTGGATATACGCGTACGAACTCGAAACAAAAAACCAGTCACGAGTTTGGGTGTTCGAAAATGAGTTAAAGCCAACAAAAATTGTTCGTTCACGGAGTGTTGCAAAAAAATGGTGGCCACGTTTGTCTCCAAAACCGGCCATGTTACGACTATTCCTCTTGAGGGACAAAGAACGGTTAATGGCATAATGGTATGCTAGCATTTGTTTGCCACAGGTCGTTTCTGAACTCCGTAAAGAGAACTGCAACCGCAGCATCATCCTCAATCACGACAATGCGAGTTCTCACACCGCACACAGAACAAAAGAGTTTTTAGAGCAAGAAAACATAGAATTATTAGCCCATCCGCCGTATAGCCCCGACCTAAGCCCTAATCATTTCTATACTTTCCCTAAAATAAAGAATAAATTGCGTGGACAGAGATTTTCATCACCTGAAGAAGCTGTGGACGCCTACAAAACGGCCATTTTGGAGACCCCAACTTCCGAATGGAATGGTTGCTTCAATGATTGGTTCCATCGTGTAGAAAAATATGTCAAATTTCGCGGAGAACACTTCGAAAAGCAATAAATACATTTTTAAATAGTAATGTTGTGTCACTTCCTTGATTCCCGAAATTTTCAGTGCCGCCTAAATCGTGGCAGCGTCTATTATTTTTCTCCTAACTATATAATAAACGAAATCAATAAACGTTTTAACATGTCGGTAGTAGTTCTCGTCTTACATGCTTAATGTTTATGTATCTAATCTTAAGTATAATGTCTCTTAAACCAGGGATGATTTTTTTACCGTCTGGAAAAAATAAGTGTGTAACAGGTGAACGGCAGAAGCCTATGGCACTGATACTTTACAATTCCTTTTATTTTTCATTAACATTTTACGAAATTTTATCTATGAATAAACTCCTGACACAGGTTTTCATTTAAACGTACTGGGAGGACCCATCTACTATATTGTTTATGTATGTAATTTTAAGGAAATAAAGCAAATATTATTATTATTATTATTATTATTATAACAATTTCAGTACAAAGTTTGTTATTAGGTCTACGCATTACAGCCAAATATTAAATAGAAATAAAATAGTATTATATTAAATAGACCTACTAGGAAATTAGGTCTACATCAGCCAATGTAGGCCTAATTTTCAAAAGTTCTTTCTTAAATACTTTTTTCAAACTTAGTACTTACCTAATTTCGGAGGCCGGTCGGTAGGCAGCGCTAGTGACGTACACGTCGGAATCAGCCCTTGGTGAGCCGTCGGAGTGGTGATGACGCCTGCCATTGCGATGCTCGCCACCACCAGATCCGCCACCGGATGGTGATCGCGTTCGCTCGTCCATTGTCTGAAAATTTAAAAACTAGCTACACTAATATTTCAATAATAGAGAAACTGTTATTGGTTTTAGGGACAATGTGATTTTGATTTTCTGTTTTTGCATACCCAGGAAAATCTAGGTACAGCAGGCATGTTAGCTTTCGGGTCAAAAATAGAAGATGAAAGGCTGTGTGGCTAAATAGGCAGAAAAACATAATTATATGGATTAAACGCCACTCACGCCAAGGATTTTATGTAAGCTACCTTTGATATTTTTAATGTAACTTACAACAAATTAACCTACAATTTAAATTGCCTTTCTAAATTTATTAATTTTAATATTATTAATTTAATTACAAGTTACCTTTTTATGCGGTTGATAAAAAGATCTTTTGTAAAGTCAATAATATCTAAAATTGCCGTACCCTTCAAAACACTTTGAATAAACTATCGTAGGTATTATTACTCTGTTAAAAATATAACTGTAAATGTACTCAAATGTCAATAAAATATCATATTATTTAAATCATTATTATTTACACATATTGTCCCGAATGAACCTGGTATGAAGAGCTGATATATTCAATCAGATGTTTTATTAAGGAGTCAAAGCGCTCCTCATTATGTATTTACATGACTTTATCAGATCATTCATGGCCTTATGTGTTTTTTATCTCATCCTGAGCAGATGACTATTTATTTAATATAATTTGTAGGGAGTTTCTAAGTGATAAAAATTTTGAATTCACACTCTTTATCAGTCTCATAACCGTTTTTCATAGTTTTCACATCAATTGAATGTAATTTAAGCTTATTAATTAATTCTCGCTTTTCTCTACAAACTTTTATATAATTTTTTTATATTAATTTTAGTTTGAATTGACTTTTGCTCTTTCCTAACATATTTGTTAAGAACGCAGTTACACGCAAACATAAACCTATAAACATATAGTAAAAACAACATTCCAGTTGAATAATAATATAAATTTTATCGTCAGGTGTACCGTAAGTTTGTTTTTCCCTACAGCTTTATAAATTATTCAGTCATTTCCTGTTTTTTATTATTTTCTTTTCTGGACAACTCTAAAATCAGTTTTGAAATTTCTCTTCCTTTCGTTATATCCCATCTCCACACAACACAATTTTATAAAAGAGAAGCTAGAAAAACGTAAAGTACAAAGAAAGGCTTTTGGTTTATAATTAGTATTGCTTTTTATAGAAGTAAGATTGATAAGCGTGCATCTGATGATATGTGGACGCTGTAGCCCATTGTCTATGGAAGAATAGATGAATGGTCATAAACCCATTCATCTATTCTCAAGAATCAAAACGGAGATACTCTTGTGACCGTGGAAGGAAAAGGAGAGATCTCCCGCCGGGCAAGGTGTTGTGCCCGGGGAGCGGCCAACACTCCATGTGATAGTTCGAAGACGTTCTATATATACTGTTTATGATTCGGAATGTTGATAGCGTGATTTAGGCTTCGGTGCATTTCGCTTGTGGCGCGACGACAGCGCCGCTACATCACCCTCCTGCTCAGAGCGGAGGTCGATAGTGCAGCCTCGTTTCCGACATAAGTGCAAGTGCCAGGGAGATTGCCTTATAGTCTGCGGTGAGTCGAGAAGAAAGCAAGTAATCTGCGAGAGTGCCGTGAAGCAGAGGCGAGCAGTAAGGCTCAGAGCCGTGCCGAACACTGTATGGCGCAGAGAGTAGCTGGAAGGAACAGGAAGCATTATTATTCCAGTGCTGCGACGAACCTTGTGAAGCTAGATGGCTTGCAGGATATGAAGAGTGCAGACGATATCTGCTCGGGAGCGAATGGGTGGGGTATTCTATGACGATGATGAAGCTTGAAGTTTCCGAAGGTTGTTGGTTGCGTGTGTTCAGATCACGTCGGGGTCACCACTGTGGCCGCGGAAGGAAAAGGGGAGATCTCCCGCCGGGCAAGGTGTTCTGCCCGGGAAGCGGCCGACGCTCCGAGTGATAGTTCGGAGATGTTCTATATATACTGTTTATGATTCGGAATGTTGATAGCATGATTTAGGCTTCGGTGTATTTCGCTTGTGGCGCGACGACAGCGCCGCTACACTGTGTACACTACGGCGTATTAAGGCTGAAGTAAGAATAAATCCGCTCGACTGGGGAAAGACTATGCCCGCGCAGAATGCCAACTCAAAATAACAGTTAGTAATTAAGTAGTAGTTAGTAAATAAGTTAGGCAAAGGTTGTCCGGTTATTTTTACTTAAAGCATTTCATGTTGCCGTCTGGGTTGTCAGTGCATCTCCATTTTTATTCTTAAGTTAAGTTAGATGTGGGTAACTGGGTATCTTAAACGACGTAGTGGCGGAGTTATTGGAATATAACTACCCCAT